TTCAAAACCCAACTCTCATGCCATTAGAAAGAGGATCATGAAAAACCTATAAAAAAATGGTTCATGAAATTTTAGTTCACTCATAAAGCTAAAGTCCGCCTGCTCTAGCAAAAAATGCCCACTGTGCTATACTACTTTTTAATACTATGCAGAAATTGCTCGCTGTGCACGCCTAAAATAAGTCGAACAGAATTGTAGCTCAAAACTGACACCACAGCGTGCGCAAGGTCATTTTTCTCTTTCTCTTTTATCTTAACAAGTGTGTTAGCTAAACATTACGATACCTACGTGTCCATCTACCGAACAGGTATTTTTTTGGTGACTCGAATGTAATTATATGTCTAACTGATACGTTACGAATGACTATGGCTCTCTTAATAGTAGCTAGTGCCTTGTGATTAACTAATGTCTTTATACTGTATTATCGCATTATGCCAGAAATGCGGCTGACTTAGCAGTGATTTTTTAACACACATAGATGTCTGACTGATGTCTAGTAACAAAAATAAATTAAAATGCACCGTGAATAGCTTCTTGAAGCACTCTCGATACATTTTTTAATTATCATAATGCCCCCCTACTCAGGCATTTATTGTGCCTCTTTTTTCTCTCTCAATGTGACGCTCGAGGGATTTTGTCAAAAGTCTCATTGAAATCTCTCGAGACTCAAAACTAGAGGGTCATTGCATTACTACGGAAAAGTCGACTGGGATTGTGGTGTTTCTAATGATCAAAATTTAAAAGCAAATGTAACAATAAGACGATCAAATATAATGAGCGATTTGCATATTCATTATATCGTTCCAATTCGATAGTAAAATAAAAAATTTCTCCAATTCCATAACTCACTGAGACCTTTCAAATGGTGTATCATATTTGCATTTTTATGCTATACACAAAGCTTTTTCTCCAAAGAGCTTCAAGGAGCCAGACCGTTTTTCTGGAAAATCCGAGTATCTGGGCCACATTGAAAACGGTAGTCGGAAAAGCTTTTTCCTGTTATCATCTCATATAGTACAAGAAAATGGACGATTCAGTTTCTCTATATCTATTTAAACGGTACAATAGAAATGCAAACTCTCAAATATTTGATGTATGATAGATATTTTGTCTATTTATTTACCAACGTTCTCGATTCGTCGAATTATTTAATAATTAGTTTTCATGTTTCATCGAAAGTAAAACGTGAGGTATTTCCATTTTGTCCAATGATCGTTCTATTAAGCGTTGATAACACGCGGAAAACAGCATTATTTTTCAAAAAAATCGTTATCTCTCACGATAGATTCAATATTTTCGAAAAAACTCAATATCAGTTTCTTAAAAGTTCAAGATTTCGTTTTTTCGTCCCAAAATCAGCTCCAGAACAAATGAATTACTCATTTGTATTTTACAGTATAGTATGAAATGCTAAAATTCATTTGTTATATCACTGATAAAAAATTAAAGTTCATTTAGAGTTAAAGAAAAGTGCTTTTTCGTATTCAGCACACTTGATATTTTTTTTTAACGAGAGGTAGCGCCAAAAAGTTAAGAAAAATTTTCAAAATTGTATAATTTTACCATGGGGATTTTTCTGCGTCAATTTGTTTGAAAAATTTTCTTAACTTTTTGGCGGTACCTCTCGCTAAAAACAGAAAATTTTCCAGGTTATCAAGTGTGCTTTAACTCTAAATGAACTTTAATTTTTTTTATCGGTGATATGAAGAGTACACTGTAAAAAATTGTTCTTTGTGCTTGCTTTTAAAGAACTAGTTGAAGAACTCATTTGAACTTTGAGATAGACACAGAGAACTGTGTTTCTGTTTTTCAACCAAAAATGAGTTTGCTACTCATTTTAGTAGAAATATGCACACTTCAAGGTCAAGTGACTCTTGTCCATTATAGATAAAGCTGATCAAAGAGGCATCCATTCAAGAACATCGACTGTATTGTTAATGACAATACTTATACTGTATATGTATATTATGAGAAAAATAATCCAGCCATGTGTAATTATAGGCATGATATTAATTTAAAAAGTCTGTGGGGCTCCAAAGAAGAAAAATTAAAAATAAGTTCTTAGAAAAACAGTAAAAATTACTAGACTTAATGTTTCTGAAGTGCAAATGTTCTAAACAGGGATCTGACAAAATGAAAAATTCAATTCTCTATTTGAGATAGATGAAAAATACGTTCTCGAACTCGACGTGTAATTAATTACTATACGATGCTAATATCTGATAGTGTTTTTCAGCAAAAAAGTAAATTAGTTTAGGTATAAATATATAACAACATCATTGAAACCGGAATCGTTTTTCGTTATATCCAACTTTTCTCTTCTCCCTTAGAGCCCCCTGAATTCATGTTTTTTGGCAAAAAACTTCGTTACGACGTGGGAAGTTGTTTTAACTGTATGTTCAAGTTTTGTCCTCTTTTCTTCTCGTTAACAACACTCAATATTGGTCTTTTAATTAATTTTTCTACTTTTTTTGTAACAAAACGTTATCATTCCTTGCAAAAAAAGTATTTTATCGACACTGGTCGCCCATGGGTGCGCATCAATGCCGCATATTTTTTTTTGCTGGACACCCATGCGAGATTTTGACATTCTTTGTGGCATCGGTGCACACGTGTGTCGGTATAAAATATACTTTATGGTACTTGTTCGGCACCGATGCCAAAGTTTCTTTTCCAATCACCATTTTGTTTTATCAATGTTTGTGTATATAAACACTACAGATACTGGCAATGTTTCAAATGTCTTTTTAACTTTATTTTTTCTTTCTCGTAAAAGAAGCGCCGAGGTCAGTGGTGTACAGTTATGGCATGATAAAGTGGTACTGATGGTATCTGCCAGTGCCGCACTCTAATTAATGCAAAATTAAAAAAGTAACTCTGCAAAACCGACACCGATGCTAATTGGCATTGGTTCGACACGTGTTAGGCACTGGTGCGCCCCGGTTCCGTACTGAATTTTCTTTTGTAGGGATTTTCAGTTGTTTAATTGTATTCGTAAATATTTCTGAATTCTATTGATTTCTAGTTTTATTTTAGGCACTTGTTAACAAATTATAGATCCTGTAAAATAATCTATTTACAGAATTATGGATATGATTCGAGAATGATTGGATAAGTGCTACATTGCAAAAGTCGATGTTTTATTGATCAAACATTTTTTTAATTTCATTACTGACCAAGTGTATTTATTTTCTAATAAACTGTATGTTTGAAGCACTATCTATTTTCCATATATTGACGACTAACTGAAGTTGTGTGTTTGCCTGACTCAATAAAGTACAGAACTAAAACCTATTTTTATAACTTCACTGGTTTTTTTTCAATTATCAAATACAATGTCACTCAAATGTTTGTGATCAATCGTTTTTTATTTGTGCTATCGATAACATTCAATTGATCTAGTTTATTCAAAATATTTCTGTAAGCTAGTAAACTAGATTCAATAATTCGGTGTACTATTCGATCAGTATCAACTATTGGAACGTTATTGAGTGGTGACATCTTTACTTCTGGTAATTTTCCTTTCATGCGATTAATCCCAGAATAAAACTTGCTGCTCTGAAATGTAAAATGACAAAGGTGTACCAATAAAGGCACAAACTATACACATCCATGAACATTTTGCCACTCAATAAAGACTTCATATTTTTTATTTGTTAAACAAACAAACGTAAATTAAAATCTGAACATAAAAAGACTGAAAATCTAGTTTAAATAACCGTAAGAAAAAATCAACAGCAACCGGAAGTGTATAAAAACATATTTTCTTGGAAAAAAAAAACTACCCACACACGCACTTAATATGGACTTCAATTTGTTTTTGGAACTACTGGCATTAGAAAAATGCACAAGTACAAACATTCGAGTAAAGAATGAGGGATGCAAGATTAATTGACAAATAAATAAATAAATAAATTAGTAAGAATAACAACATAGTTTGAAAACAGGATTATATATAACATCACTGTAAAAAAGTTTTTAAAATTGAGTACTATTGAGTAGAAGAGAAAAAATTGTAGAAAATAATCTTACTCAATGTGTTTGGGTTTTTTAAAGCTTGATTATTTTTTTTCATGATGATTAGACGAAAGAAGAAAAGTATACATTGTTAATAAAACCTGAACATTCAAATAGCCTTAAACACTGAATTCATAAAATACTATTTCAGTGTAAACAACTATCTGTAGAGAAAAAATCTTGTAATGGTTGGTGGGCAAATGGCATATGATTTAAGACATTTCAAATATTTATTTCATCAATTAGGATAATAGTTTTTAAAAAAAAGATCTATTAAAATAAAAATAAAGATATCCATTTAAAACAATCCTGTATGTTTTATTCTTCGGCAGCAAAACCTCGTTTTTCTCCAGTAGCTAGTTCTTTTTTTAAGTCTTCTTTTGTTTGATCTTCTAATTGTCTTATATCACTCATTGTTAATCCATGCCATTTATCCATCCAACAAAATAATTGTCGATGAAAGTTACGAAATAAACGTTGTTCTTGTTTCATAATATAATCTTGTACTTTTGTTCCAATAGGAAACCATTTAAAATGTACACGTACTAATTTATAGCAACACATAAGTGGTTGACAACCTCTATACCATTCACCGTTTAATGGTCCACGTCCTGTTTTAACTGATTTAAATTGTGTTGGATCTTCTTCTTGTTTATAGTCAGTTGTGGGTACACGATCAGCTATATTAATAACAACAACTTTTCGACGATCATGATCTCTTTTATCCAGCTGATGTACGTTATCTTGAAAAGAGTCACCCATTGAATCACTGCTATGTGGTAAATGTAGTGTTGATATATCGATATACATTGCATCTTTCATATAAGCACTTGTTAAAACCTAAAAAAATAATAATCAATGAGAAATTGAGAAATTATTATCATCGAATTACTTACCGTTTTACAGTATGGATATGCATTATGTGCTTCTTCATGCAAATCAAATGCATCTGGTGAACTTACAAGTACTTTTACAAAACCTGGTACACGATCTTTCAAATGATATATTTTATGTGTATATTGTCCTGTATTATATTTTCCTAAAAATGCTGCTGACATTGGTTTTTCAAATGGTTCATTTTTTATCACTTCTACACCTTCACCACCACCGGTATTCTGTTTTGAACATTCAGCAGTTGACCATAATTGTGCTAATTGATATTCTTCAACAGTTAATGGTAGAAGAATACGAAATTCTGTTATATGATCATCGCGAACTTTTGCCATTTGTTCTGGAGTTGGACCTGGTATTCTGTCAGGTGCATGCTTATTATGTGAATGTGCCATTTTCTATAAAATATTTGTTTATCTAATTCTACTGAGAATATTAAAAAACAAACTGATCTTATAGTATAAAAAAATAAAATCTAAAACATAAATAAACAACATAAGGGAAACAATGTAAATATATATTTATATTATTTTAAAAGAAAGTTAAGTAGTTTCTCTCGTATTTTTAATCTCTTCCACTTGAAAGAAAAGCATACAATGTGACATGAAGAGTCAAGTTTTCGGATCCCAGGCCGTCTAAAGAAACATAATTATAAAATATGAGCAATGGCTGGATATAGGAAGATAACAATTCTAGAACGGCTTTGTTGGTGCGTCTAAGGGATTAGTTATATATCTCGCGCATTTTGTAACTATTCATTATTCATGACGTTGTTCTTCACAAAGCAAGGCATTTAGTTATACAAATTTTGTGTTAGTGTTAGATTTAACATTTTGAACTTTCTTTAAAAAAGCGAAATTGAATTTGAAAATTAATTTTTTAATTGTCGTCATTTTATCAAAAAAGAATGTAAACCGCATCATTTACTATTTTGTAGAAAAAAACGTACCGAACAATACATTCGAAAAACATTTAAAGAAAATGGTCTTGAAACTAAAACTTTTTCCAAAATTCATTAGTAAAGAACTGATGTAGAACTGGATGGATCATGAAACATTCTTCAAGAAAAGTCAAAGCTTTTTGATACTCTATAACTCTAAAACAAAATTATTATACAATTTAAACCGAAAGAACGGTAACTTAAGACATTTTAGATTCTCACTTTCGTCAGTTAAGAAAAGTAGAATTCGGACATTAGTAAATCTGGATCCTTTCAAGTCAAGAGAAAAGGGTTGCATGGTTAAAGCCCAAATCAGCTCTTGGAAGGGTCATTCCTTACTCAAAGAAACAGCTCTAACTACAACGCCTTCGATATTGTAATGTCGTCTGAGGAGTCACACAAATCTTCTAGTCCAAATGAGTCTATTTTTGTGTTAAATTCAACCATAAATATTTTATATTCAAATATAAAGCGACCAAAGAGTCTTAAGAAACTTTATTAGCGTTGATACGTAGCTTCCTAACTGAGATACAAATTCGTCCTAATTGTAAGATCAGACAACATCAAAGGGAACAACTAAAACTGAGTGTGAATTTGCAAAAAAAAGTATTTCAGTTGGGAGGTAACCCGTTGATATTGGTAGGGTTCTTACTACTAGTGATTATCTTGCTTACAATATTGACACGAATATCAAACTACACAATTAACCATGTTCGGAGTTTCACCACTATAATCAAAGAGCCAGTGGTAACAACTTTTTTTGAATAAATCACAGTTGGGGAGAAGCATAGAACGGACTTTACCATTTTATTACGTGTTTATTATAGAAACAAATAAACTAGAATGATTCCTAGAAACAATGTTGAGCTCACACCTGAAGATTTTTTTGACAACTTTTGAAAGAATATATATAATATTTTACTGATCATTTTGGCAAATAATGGGTTTTTGATTTTCTCTTGATAGTTCTGAGTTCTGACTGTTTATCATCGTTGCTACTTTTTCTAACAAAACGAAAAAAAAAAAACGCGTTGTACTTGAACTCAAAAAATCCTAGATCTAATGTTAATTTTTAACTCTAAAGTTAAAGTTCATCAAAAAATTTCTCACATCTGAACATGGACATACCCTATCTTTGAAAGGAGTAGTAATTCATTCGTATCAACTGATATAAAAGCTGCAAACAATTAGCTTAAAATCTGAAAGACAAAGATTTTCTTTTATTAACTTTTTGTCCACTAAACATGAAACAAAACAATTTTCTTTCACTTCAAGGTATTTTTCTTCGTTCTACTGTTTATTTATAAACATCATCACAGAACATTACTCCGTCACACAGAAAGAACCTGTTCATTAACGTAAACTGCTTAACAACGATCGTTCATAACTACCACGACAAAAAGTATGTTGAATTATTAGAATCAAAAAATTGTTGGCTTTCTACCTACCTTTTGATTATATCTAAGTGCTAAGAGAACTTTCCAATTGAAAGAAATAGAGAATAGTTGAAACACATGTCGTGGAAAAATAAGGAAGAATATTTGGAAATGGATAAATTCCCCCCTGTAGCTCTCTTGTTTTTAACATCTAACTCAGAAAGGCTATCAAATAGAGACTGAGCACTCTGAAATAAAATCAAGGAAATAAATAGAAAAAAATGACAATATTTTGTAACAATGTATGTCAAGAGAAATCACACAATTTTCATTTCTCGGAAACGTTTTCAGCAGGATAATACTTCTGTTGAACAATAATTAGTTCCATCTTGAACAGTTAGTATTTAATGAATTTCAATAGTCATACTTTTAAATGACTAGGCACTTTTTAACGCGCACAAGGTATATATGCCATGTTCATAAACTTAAAAAAGAATTATTATGAACGTGCATATTCAGTAAACCAGACATAAAAACGTAAGAATAGTATATGTATATCTTTAAAACAAAAATAATCATTTCACAAGAGCAAACAAGGTAATTACATTTTTAGTAGAAAAGCAAAAAGAAACGATAGTGAACTACTCCAGCGGCAATGAAATAAAATAAAAAAATCCTGGTTGGAAACAAATTTTTCTACTCAAGTACCAATCAACACAAATGATGAATTAAAGTTGCCTGCCGTCTTACATCATCTTTTCCGAAGTTTCTTAACGATGAGAAAGAGTGACGAAGACAAGCGGAAAACAAACAGAACACACATGGATTCGTCTATTGTCATAATTTTATAGCACAGCAAACTCTATGAATGTCTTCGTAAAGCCCGAGGAACTTTTACGAACTTAAAAACCTCTCTTTAAGATCCAAAAATGACTCTTGTGTTTAAAAAAAATTTTAAAGCGTAACTGGTCAGACTACAGATTATTACTGCCCATGACACGACGCAACAGAAAAAAGTTCAATTAAGCACCTGAAAAATGTGATACAATCAGCTTTATTTTTACGTTTCTGATGTCAGAAGAAAACAGCTATATAAATTCTAGTGAAGAACAGTAGTCTCTTTTCGGAAAACACTAGTCAGCTTGAATTCATTTATTTGCGCCTCAACAACGGCATCTCTGTCTATATATATTTCTTTCATTTCAAGGCACTTCCCTTTCTTAAAGTCGTAAAATAGAAATAAAACTTGCTTTGTCCTATTTATTAATAAATATTTCGTTTTCATCATAGAAAATGAAAAATACGTTGATTTCTGTTTATTGTTTTTCTTTTTTCATATGAATAAAAAGAACATGACTAAAACAAAAAACAACGCATGCCACTGTGAATAACAACAAAACAACTTTATAAGCTATTCTTTTTGAATTTTTCTACCACGTTGTAGTTCCAACCGCTGTTGCAGTCCATTCGCCTCCTGTTGTTGGGGTAGCTGCAGTTGTAGTACCCCAATTTTCAGCTGATGAGCCCCAATTTTCTCGACTTCCTGAGAAACCTTCTACAAAATGGAGAAAGATTTACTTTGTTAAATAAACATAGCAGATAAAGGTTAATACGAGCTGCTAACCTGTATTTGGCATCATTGGTGCATCATTATCAAAATAACTGTCGGCAGCATGTTGCAATTGTGTATCAGTTTCTATTCCACCTCCTAATACTTGCTCTTCTTTTTCAGTCTAAAGAAAATATTTGAATGAATTAATATTTTGTTCATACAAAATATTTGAAAGACTTTTTTACATATTAGCTAAAGCTCTGAAACATTCAATTAGTCGACAAATAGCGACGCAAATTTCATAATGTATTAGAGAGACAGATCATTCAAAAGGACAAGATTTCAAAATCTAACACAATAAAGAGGACTCACTTCTTCTGGATCACGATAGAAAAATAAATCAACCATTACGTCCCATGGTGTTTGACGATTAATTTCACCACGTAAGCGAAGCACCTCACGCGCTAAAAACCACCACATTAAACCGGTTGATTTAACTGTCTGAAATCAATATAAAAAACGTTGGTTTTGAGCATATTTGAATAGGCGAACTTCTCTCACCTTGTTATTGCACGGTATAGCAATATCGATAAAACGCAATGGTGTGTTTGGATCACAAAAACCAATAACTGGTATATTGACAAATGACGCTTCACTAACAGCTTGATGATCGACATGTGGATCAGTCACAACAATTAAGCGTGGTTCTTTGAAAGCTGCTTGAATTTGATTGGTAAATGAACCAGGTGTAAAACGTCCAGCTAGAGTAAATAAAAATAGCTTTAGTTGTTTTATTGAGCTCATTACTCGAAATAGGTTCATTTCCAGAGCACTGTTCTTACCAATTGGTGTTGCTCCAGTATATTTAGCATATTTCAATACGGCACGTTGGCCTAGAATTAAATTTAAAAAAATAATTCCAACGCATACCGAGTGGCTGTTAAATATATCACATACCTTGTGGCCGACAACTAATTACACAGACATCAGCTGGATTTTCTACTGCGACAATGGCACGTGCAGCTAACATAAGTTTTTCCCACAATTTTCGAATATTAACAATAGATGAGCCTGAAAGTAGCCAAAAACGTTAATTATTAAGAGAATAAAAGTAATAGATTTTCAAAGACTACCTTCGTTTTTTGGCTTTTTTTTCCATACATATTGCTCCATTTGAAAATCCACATCTTTTGAACCAATGTGTGCTCCGGCAGCAAGTATTTTCAGTACATCTTCTTCCTGGAGTTGAAGCTTTTGAAAACCAGATGTCATTTTTATTTTAAGATCTAAAATAAAACAAGTTCATACTTTAACATTCAAATAATCATTTTGTATTGCACACATGTTAATTGCTTATGGCAAAATGAGCTTTAACTCTGGAAAGAAACATGATCCTCTCTAGCACGCAGACTTGAAATCCATTATTTTATTCACACAGAGGAGCGAGTAGAAAAAAAATGTAAATTTCTGTCCAAAAGTGGATTGTGAATAAGTAGACTATCTTCCTTCGCATTTGTTCTGCTGCAAATATCATCTAGTGCACTGAAAAACAGAATTCTGTAATTCTTTATTTCTCAACCACTAACTCTTTTATTTGTTAGACGTAAGAAGACGTAGACAGAGAGTTTCAGTCTACTATCAAATAACTGTTAGCTCTTGCTATGACCGTCCTGTCTACGTACTCATACATACACGATAAATAAATAAATTGAATGGTCATAAGCCATGTTTGAGTTTTACTTACTATGGCCTTCACGCTTTTACTGATCTTCCAAGCAATGTGTTAAAAAATCAGTTTTAAACTTTCGATCGATTTACAAAATTTCTAATTAGCTAAAGAAATTAAAAACATATCTACCAGTTTATATATATATTTAAGAGAAAGAGAGAGGTCGCCGTAAGCAGGCATACATGAACTGAGAGAAACTATGAAATAGTTGCGGCATTAGTAACGACCTCAACACAAAAATTATAACTTTTGCATCCGAAACAAATCGACTTTTTCCGGATCAAGTTCGTTCGGGATCTGAACTTAAAAATTCCGATTCGATTCGACTGAAAATTCAAAAGTTTTGGTTCGGTTTATGATCCAAATTCGATTATTTAAAGTTTTTAAAATCTTATTACAAACTACCTTTTATGGTTTTACGCGCTAGAAACACGCTCTTTTAGTGTTCGAAATTAGTTAGATAAAATTGCTTTATTTACCATTGTTGTTCTTCGTTTATGTGCATTTTATTTAGCAACAAAACAGAAAAACATATCACCGACAGAAAAATAAAGTTCATTTAGAATCGCGGAAAAGTGCTTTTTCGTATTCAGCACACTCGATAATCCAGTAGATTTTCTATTTTTGGCGAGGGGTACTGCCAAAAGTTCTGTCAATCGGTGAAGCTGCTAGTTATGTCAATAGCTTCAGTGCTATATTTTTGTTTATTTTTCTAGACTCTTTGTTAAGTGAAGGATAATTTTGTATAGTGAAGAATACGCTGAGTTTGTTATAGTACAAAGAAAAGTAACTATAGGTTTTTGGATCGATTATAGCAGGCAGATTATGGATTGATTAAAAAGTTTAAGTTGACTAAACTATATCGTGTGTTTGATCATGAAATTTTCGTTCATCTACTTCCGAGTCAACATTCGAGCGTTTATCATTATTCAAACTTCTTTCCTGCAATGAATTTATTTCTAAATTTGAATCAAGTTTTCTTGCATTTGTATTTCTCGTTAGTTGAGTCGTTTCAATAGTACCGGGTTGTAGATCAGCAATATCCCATATTTTTAAAGTTCCATCAGCAGAGGCAGTAAACAAACGTTCTTGAGTCACCTAAAACAAATAAGTAATGACGATTTTAGGCGACCAGTGAATTTTAATACGAATTACCCGCATAGCACTGACACCAAGTGTATGAGATTTAAATACACGTTTCAAAATACCCGATCGCGCATCGAAACAACGAATTAAAGAATCTCCACAACCCGTGTAAACTAAAACAGGTAAGTTTTAGTATGAAAAGAAAATATGCTTGTATGTTAGTGTTATTAAAATATTGTTTCTTCTACCTAAACCATTTTTCACCTGCAAACAAGTTACAGTGTGTTTATGTCCTTTGTATACTTGTGTACAATCACCAAGCTCTGTAACAAAACATCGAGCTGTCTGATCTGAACTACTTGAAAATAATAATTGATCGATTATCTGGAAAGAAAGTTAAATGTGTTAAATATTATTATTTCTCTTGTAGATTGTTTTTTCAAGATTTTGTAAGTTACTTACAACGATACTAATGATTGAAGCAGAATGAGCTTCGAATATTCGCAGTTCATGTGCGTGAAAGATATTCCAACATCGAATAGTATTATCAGCAGCTCCGGTAAATAAAAGCTTTTCTTGCTGATCGATTGCCAAACAGGAGATGCCAGCTGTGTGTCCTTTAAATGTTTTTAAACATTCATCGCTTGTGAATGACCAAGACTTTGCTGTTGCATCTTGTGATCCTAAAAAAAGCATGAAGGAAATGAGTCTAATTATACAATAGCTCACTTTCACATTACTATACCATACCTGTTATAATAACATCCTTTGCATACATATCAAGTTCTTCTAATGAATCGGATGCATCGTGTACAGATGGTATGAATATAATAGGTGATACCCCATGCTTATGTCCTCGAAACACTCTAATACAAACACCACTATCAATATCCCAACATCTCATTGTTCGATCATAAGATGTTGAAAATATAAAATTTCCAGTACATAGGACACGACTAATGAGTGATGTATGTCCCGCAAAGACATGTAAACATTGGCATGAACTCATTTCCCATTTTCTTAATGTTTTATCGGCTAAAATGAGTGTATGTGTCGGACTGCTATTCAATTCAAAATATAGTGAATTGGGATGCTTTTGAATAACTTTTAATCGAAAAGTGACTGGAAAGAGAAGATCGAGAGAAATTGTTCTATGCAACAAGCAAAAGAATTGCATTACAGATAGATGGCATAGTAGACAAGGGTCCATCTTTTTTGAGTTAATTATTTGGACAAAATAAAACAATGAATTTTTGATTCTTATATGTGGATTTGACTCACCGTTATCCAACACGCTGAGTCTCATGGTAATGATTGTCTTTCAAAAAGGCAAAAATACGGCTAAAAATCTAACTTTACAATCAATATCGAACTCTTTAATTAAGAACTATTTTGTTTTTTGGATTCACGATGTTCTACGATGGATAGTAGAATCGCACATAGTAAGCTTATTTACCTGATGCACTTATCAAAATATTTTCCTCTATGATAATGTGTGTCACATAATCATGATGTCCAGTTAGAAAGCCAATACATTCGACGGGATCTGTTTTTGCACTCCACAAGCGTATACTATAATCGTCTGAGCCTGTGCATAATACACTACCATCATCACTCAATACCATACAATTAATACCAGCGATATGTTCATCTAGAGTTTGTAATAAATAATTTTTTCCTTTTTCACGACGTGTCGATATAACACTACCCATTACTATCTGGAAAATAACCAACGAACTTTCACAACTCTTTTTTGAAATTTCTGTTAGTTCTCTTTTACTTAAAGTAATTTGAGGAACTAAGTTACATTACACACTCATTTTAATCTGT